TCACTGATCTGTTCACAGGACGTATCATACGGATCCCTCCACTGCTCTGGTCTTTTTACTGCCCTACAGCCTGTTGTCATTCTACTCTTGTGAGTACCTGATAGTTTTGTGTTTTCTTTTGCATTGTGCTGCACAGTCTGTACAGCAGAGCTTGGAGAGGAGGAGTAAAAAAGCTGCACAAGAAACCAATCAGGTGTGCTCAAGTGCAAGAAGCATGCTGACAGGAGAGAGTGCAGTGACAGAGAGATAAGCTCATCAGTGTTCTGCTTATTTCATTCTCTATTCACATGATCATGTTCTGACGAAGGGGGCAAGCCCCGGAAACGCGTCGACACTTCACTTGACTGATCTGTTCACAGGACGTATCATACGGATCCCTCCACTGCTCCGGTCTTTTTACTGCCCTACAGCCTGTTGTCATTCTACTCTTGTGAGTACCTGCTAGTTTTGTGTTTTCTTTTGCAGTGTGCTGCACAGTCTGTACAGCAGTGCTTGGAGAGGAGGAGTAAAAAAGAAGCATGCTGACAGGAGAGAGGGCAGTGATGGAGAGATAAGCTCATCAGTGTTCTGCTTATTTCATTCTCTATTCAGAGGGTGGTGATGGGGAGGAGACCTGTAAGTAAAAGTGGAAGTGCAGTTGAGAAAGTGCAGGTTGTGTACTTTGCCAGGCAGGACTTTTCTGTGTGCCACAGCTGTGAAAATCTCAGGAATGAATGGACAGATAAAAAAAAAATCTTTTGGCAGCTCCCTTATGTATATTTTGTCTGTATTTGTATTTAAGTGCTTACTTGGAGTCCAGCTTTAGGGGAACTGATCATCACAGACAAACCATAGGAGTCGGTGGGGCCTACTTTAGCAGATATAGAACTATGTTTATACTATATATCCAATAAATTTGACACTCACTTTATTTACAGTGAGTTTCATACACGCTTAGCAGAGAAGGTACATGGGAACTGCAAATAATATATCTAACTACCTTTACTTTTACAACATTCTGTCAGTCTTCTTCAAGGTCAGCATTTCATTGTAAAGTTCTTCTCCATCTATTAAAATTCTTTGAAAAGTGATCTTCTGTTCCATTAGTTAATTAGGATGTTTCACAGTGTCTGAATAACATCAAACACACAGTTTAAGAAAGATTTTAAGCTCTGAGAATATTTATTATTTCACTTTTAGACACAGGCTTGTAATGATATATTTATGAGGGTGAATACAAGCAGATGACAGATGGCTGGTCTCTTTCTTTGATTTTTTTTTAATTGATCATCCCTTAATTTTGATCTCATTCATCTAGAAAATCAATAAACTTAATTGTTCATTTCAAAGTAAGGAATAACTAGGGGGATGTGGAGATTTAGTTTTGATACTTGAAAACCAAACACTTTAAAAACCATCTTAAGTACTCAATTTAGAAAATTAAGATTTTGGGACTCGCTGTTCTAAAGATGATTGTTATATGTCATTGTTGAAATGTTATGAAATAATTGTTTTGTACCTTTCTACATATGCTCAACATAAATTCTGTACATTGTGTTGCAATTCATTTGAGAAGTCTATGGGACTACATATGGCTCCATTATGAATAGAGAGTGCTGTCAGCTCACTGTCTCCCAAGCAAATAAAAAATAGCTTTGCATAAAGTCTGCAACTAATACTAGGGATTTGAGTTTGGTGAAACACATTTTGTCACAGGCCAAATTTCTGTGAAACAACAACTCAATTTCGCTCGTTGAGGCTGCTTAGGTGAAAATTGCTTAAAAAAAAAGAAGAGTTGTGGTTTTTTGAGCAATTTATATAGGGTAGTTTATTTAATTTAGGGCCACATTTATAAAACAGTGAATGTGGCATTTACCAAATTTTAATTGCAGGTTAATCTGGTGCTTATATTTTACATTACAGGGAATGATTACCTGTGAATGCTTGCTCAGTGTCATAGCCACAGCTTTAAAAATATATATTTAACTAGTGTTCTTTGTATTTGTTTTTTTTTTTTATTGTGTGCAGTTGATCATAAAATGTATACCTGGTGGTCCTCGTTCAGGCATTTCCTATTATGGGATGACACCTGTCTCCCAATAGTTCTCCTGTGTTGCCAGCCTGTCACATGTACCCCTTGTGCCTGTGCTGACACACAATGCACAGACATGGCCCATTGTTGTCAATATAAAGCAGCTTGTCCTAAGCAATGATGTGCAGCTGACATTGAAAAAATAACATCTAGACAGGAAGTGGCTGGGGGAGACCAGCAGCATTGAGATGCAAAAGAAAGGATGGAAGAAAAAAGTAACAAATGTTTATTCTCCAGATAGATTTACATTAATATGGGTTAAAATGCAATGATAGCACTTCGATAAGAAAGTGTCAAGCACTGCTGATTAAAAAAAACGTAGGTATCCCTCAGTAATCTTCAAATAATATATCTGTGCACTGAAATTAAATTTTGTTCAGATTTTTAGTATCCTTATTTTCTCAGTGTAAAGCAATGTAAAGCAATTTTTTTTACAGTTCTCTTTCTAGAAACAGCAAATATTATGAAAATATTGCATACAAACTTCAGAAAAGAAGGTGTAATGTATTTTTGGATGTAACTTTGATCAGAATACCATATAAGAAAAATAGCTCAGAGCACAAGTCACAACAGTGCTGCTAATTAGTACTGCAAATACTTATAAAAGCAGCTAAGTGTACCTACTTTTTTTTATTATGTTATCATATTTCACACTGTGTGCAATGATGATTTCACACAGAGATGATAATTATTTCCTTTAAAAAGATGTTACGCTAAAATGCTAGTGATCCATGTGACTTCATTGAAGAGTTATTCCTTGTTAATTACTAATAATTATCACACATTTTTCTTAGTAATTTAGCTATTGGATGGCAATATGATTTTTGTTTTCTGTAAAGTTACAAATTGAGCAAAATCCTTGTGACAAACCACCCCAAGTCACGAGGAAGTAGTCTAGGATGGGATATATACTGTATACTGCTGTCAAATTGTGGGTTTTCTTTAGATAAAGACTACAGAGGGAGTAAAACTGAATTTCAGCTTTGGTGTCTTTCCAAGGAGAGACTGGGTAGGCTGCCTGGCCCTCCACTCCAGAATGGGTGTGGTGCCACTCAAAAGGGAAAGGTTTATCTGCGTGTGTGCATGTCAGTGGCGTAACAACCTATAATAAGGGGGGGGGGGCGGAAAAAAATGTTCTGCCCCGGGCGCCCATAACTCTGGTTACGCCACTGGTGCATGTGGCTGTGTAAGAGCACTGAACCAGGAGATGGGAGGTTGTATGTCCCCATTATTTTCCCCTCCGAGGGAAGACTCTATATTTTTTTCTGCTTTAAAAAATGAACATGGGAAAAATCCTAAAAGTGTACCAATGTTACTGTGCCAACTGTCTGAGATAGTATTCCCTTCACTTTGGAGAGAACTCCTCTTCCTGCAATAGCTATAGAAGTGAAATAAAAAAACATTTAATGAATTTGAATTATACTCTACTCTATCCAAAAGAAAAATAAACCCTTTACATAACACATACTTTAAGGGCCCATTCATTAAGGGCCCATGCCATTAAAGTGTCACTAAACCTTCCACTTAAAAATAATTTTCTAAGCATAATACTATACACATCCCCAGTTTACTAAAATCGGTACACGATGTTTACTTACCTTTCTTTAAAAAATAAAAACTTTCAATTACCCCATGTGCTGCCTGCAGAGGCGTTTTTCTCTTCACTTTCTGTATCTGGTAACAAGCAATTCACCTATATTTCAGTCATATACACTGTTTTCTGAGAACTACAGATCCCAGGAACCACTGCCACTGTCTATTGTACTGTGCATGTATCCCCAGTAGAGACGCCTAGACAATAGAAGGACCCTGAAGCAGAGATGTTTAGAGCACAGGACAGAACAATATTGGCGCTCTTTTACTGGTCTTGCAGTCACTTAGAAACCTGTGGGTGGCAGTTTCAATAACATGCCAGTGCTGTCTGTGTCAGCAAGTACTACTGTAGCCCACCTCAGGAGCAAGCAGACAAGAGGGGCTGCTTTTTCAAATACAGAGGGACCATGTAGACTCTAGCCAATGGAAGTTTGAACAAAGCATATCATAAATCTAGAATTACTTATCTATTTAATACAGGTATTGATATAGTGCATCACAACAGTCCCTGCCTTCAAGAAGCTTACAATTTAAGGTCCCAATCTCATATATACACAAAAAACTAGGGTCATTTTAGAAAGGGTCCAATTAACCTACCAGTATGTCTTGGGAGTGTAGGATGAAACCAGAGTACCCCGTGGAAACCCATGCAAGCACATACAGAACATGCAATTGTTTTTTGTTTTAACTAATTAACTTGGGGTCCCTCCTATTGCAAATCCGCCTGTGCAACACTTGTTAAATGCCTTGTCAATGCTCTAGAGAGTGTTGAACAAGTGTTAAAAGGCGGCTCGATAGACTTTAATGGAGGCATTATACCAGCGGTAATGCCTCCAGAATGCGACTTGCAATCTATTTTTTGCTGAGCCCATGTGTGAACTGTACTGGGCAGTTGTTGTTGTTTTATCACACATGGGCGTTAATAGGCAATATTAGAGAGGCAATAAAACACTTCTCAAATGCTTGGTTTTGACACACATGTGAAAGAGACCTAAAAGGGATAAAACACATGTGCATGTAGTTCAGAGATGTCCTGCATACAGTGTGTGTTATTTATTTTGCCTTGACATACAATTTAATAGAGGTTCATCATTTATAAACTTGTTTAGGGGCCTCTGTATTTATTTCTGTTCTGTACTTATTATGACCCCTAACTTGCACAGCATTTCCCATACCTAATGATATGTTTTACTAAATAATGCATTTTTAGGAGATGCTAAGTATTTTGGGATTAAATATAATTTAAATGAGGAAGGATATCATTTAAATGGGGAAAGTGTGATAAATAAAACATTCTATTTACATTGTTGGGACCTGTTTTTCTTTCTTCTTGCAGCTTAATGACATTATAGTAAGCACGCCTGGGACTGCTATGCAGATGTATTTCCTGGAGACATTGCTGCTTCAAGACAAGCCATTACTTTTTGTCGGCCCCACAGGCACTGGAAAGACAGCTATTACAAACAGCTTCCTGCGACACTTACCCCAAGAAAAATATGTTGTATGTCAAATTAACTTCTCAGTGCAAGCTTCAGCTAATCAGACCCAGGACATCTTCCTAACAAAACTCGAAAGGTACCCTGACTTTTAATTAAAATCAAGTGTGTAATAGTGCTGAATTTGCTCCACAGAGATTACCTCACAAAATAATATTAACCACCTCGCTTCAGCCTCTGACAGTGCAAATGAAATCTGATTTGTTTCACTCTGCACTGTTTACAGGCACACAAACTACATTTTAATTGTTGTTGACAAAGATTCTGATTTATACGGAGCAGGAAATAGAAACCAATGCAAGAGAGCATGTGTCGTTTTAACTTTTTCTTATGAAAACTCTTCCATGGGAGAATAAATAGACATCTGGTCCTGGGCATTCTCCAGTCCATGGCATATTAAAATGAATCACTAAATTTTAACTTAATAGGAAATAAGGGCCATCTGTCAATATAAGATCAAAGCAGCAGGTGCACACTTGCCAACAAAAGGAGGGTGAAGGTAACGTCTTTGAGGTTGAGATTGTAAAATGTATTTTGTTTTGCCTCTGTAATGAGAGTATGTTTCTATGTAATACGACTTTGATATATAATTATTATGATATATACTATAGTATAACGTAAATATGATATATAATACAGTACAGTGTGTGTTGACTGTCTGAGTTGTAATATGCTAACAGTTATTTTTATTGGATCAATGGCCTTTTGAAATGTGTTTTATGCCTCCACTTTGCTTTTTTTTAATGCCTTGCCATTAAGGAAAGCTTCTGCTAAAGCTGAACTCCAGTCAGCTTATAAAATAGCATTTGGGTGCTCCTTCCCTGGCAAAGAGTATAATGCTTGTTAATCTAGAGGGATATAACAGAGAGGAACAATTCCCTTTTTGCTTCTGCAGGCTTTCTCCTTGCCAGTTTCAGCATTTTTGACTGGTATCGCAAAGTCACTCCTTTTTTTCGGACATGAGGCAGACATAATCATCATGTACATAAGTTGGAGAAGAATGCTGGCTTCCAGGGGAGCAAGGAAGAAATACAAATTTTGTTATGTTAAATTCCCCCATACTAAATAAACATTAGGTGGGTTATTCACAAACCTGCCGAAGGATTTACCTGAACATTCGGCTAGTCCTTCAGCTGGAGAAAAAGCATTCGGTTCAGCTGAACCGAATGGCTGCTGCACATGCTATTTTCAATAGCATGTACCGCAGCAGAAGTAAACAACTTAATTTAGCAGTGCCGAACAAACATGATCCGGCTCGGCAAAGCCGAATAAATATCTGGAATGGGAAGAATAGTTCGCCGAAGTGGACCAAATATCTACTGCTATCAAGCAGTAGACATGCAAAAACATTTTTAAAAAAATAAAAAAGTTACCAAAGAGGTTATTGCTGACCTGTGTCTCCTGTCTGAAGTTCTGAAGATCCTCGAGCATCAGTAAAGGATCATGGGGCGGGCGCAGTCGCTGTAGAGATCTTCGGCCGGGAGAAGAGGAGAGACACAGGGTAAGTCAATGCTCAGCAGTGTGCATACGCACAGACACTGTGGAACACAGAATACACAGCAGTCAGCACTGAATCAGAGACCGGCACCAGCACTGAAGGGACTCCTGAAAACTACTGGAAAGAAAAAGATGATCGGATCAGGAGGCATCATTTAAGGTAAGTCCTTAAAGCAGCATTGGGGGAGAAATGTGACTTTAATGTCACTTTAATCCGAGCAGTGGCCTGGCAAAGCAGGAAAGGGGGGGATGAGTGGGCAGTCCCCCCTGCACCATACCAGGCCACATGCCCTCGACATTGGGTGGGTGCTTTGCCGGGGGGGGGCCTCTGGAAAACCCCCTTGTCACCATGTTGATGAGGACAAGGGCCTCTTCCCCCACAACCCTGGTCCAGTGGTTGTGGGGGTCGGTGGGCAGGGGGGCTTATCTGCATCTGGGTATCTTTCATAAAGGGGCACCCAGATGCTGTCCCCTTGTGAATGAGTAAGAGGTAGTTGCTACCCCTACTTATTCCCCAAATTGTAAATAAAGATTAAATAAAAAGACTTAAAGGGTCTGAAATGATTGGAAAGGGGACCCCGCACTGGTTTTTTTTGTTTGTTTGTTTACAATAACAATTTTTATTCTGCTTCACTACCTTTGAAGTAGTAACATAATGATTGAACCGAATACTGAGCCGACCATTCGGCTATTTATTCACTGCTGTTTCACCCGTTGTAGAATAGGGGTAAACAGCAGTGAATGAACTGCTGAACATTCACTTCAGCTGATCCAGATGTTGCATCTGCTGTGGCAAACGGGCTCTTTCCTTCAAAAAGGCTGAAGGGACGTGAAGTGAGCCAAATGCAGCCGATGTACAGCTAAAAATAGCCATACTGGGCTACAGTGAATAGCCAAAGAGGTTTTGGCTCAGTTATTTATTTGACTGCCTTCAGTAGCGTGAATAACCCCTTAGATCTTGATTGGTATACTGGGGGCACCCAAATGTTCAGCTTTAAGGGAAATCTCCATTTTCGACAGCAACTTCTACACAAGCCATTTTGTAATTTAATGTTAAAATACATTTCTATTTTTAATCTGTAAGTGATGTAATCAAATATTATGAAAAATATAAATGTTACTTTTTTGTTATATTGCAAACCTGAGGTGTTCTGTACACTTTGTGTAGAGTGCATGTAGAACTCCTTTGTCTTGCTTGTCTAAAAGGCTCACTGCTTTTCACATTTCTGGTGAGATATTAAGACCTCGTTTAGGTGGGCTGCTTAGTGGCGGGACAATCAGGCACTCCTCAGCCGCCTGCTGCAATGTTAACAATGTGGACGGACAGTGCTATATACATTGCTGCAGCCATGATGCTTTGATTTGCAAAAATTATTCAGCATGTGTTGTTTGGCAGGACCATGGAGTTAAGATGAACGCTCCACAACCACATGCCAAATGCCTGGCATGAAGTTGTGGCACAGTAGTTTAATGGAAAACTGCTCTACCACCCTGTGAAAAGTGATCTACCACAAACTGCTTTTCACAGGTTGGTGCAGACTACTGCCCATCCAAACAAGGCCTAAGACTCAAGGATGCAGACACTGCATCATACTAGTGTTGCCCCAGGTAGTTATAATGATGGCATGCCATTCCATTTAGAAATTAGTGTGAGACAGGACATAGAAAGGCAAGTAGCAATTTCTTATGAACATGGAAAGGTATTAATCCGCATAATACTTTTTTTTTAATGCACATCGTTCACTTATTGGTTACACTTTAAGCTAAGTAGAGTTTGGATTCCACATGGGAACACACATGCCTTGGATTGAGTGGCTGCATACAGAAAAGAAGACTGGAGAGGATCCTAAAGAATGATAATCCTGTTAAAGTAAATCTGTCTTTAAAATGGTTTCCTTATGTACTGCAGCTGCTATGCTCTGAACTTAGGGACTACACTGCACTTATACCTAAAACACCCCTATGCTCTCAAAACTTCTCTCCACCTCACCTTACCCTGCTAATTTAAATGTTAAATACTAATACAGACTTTATATGCCAACTCCATAGTTACTTTACTTCTGTGGCCTTTGCTCACATAAGCAGTAATTACAGCTTTTGACATTCCCTTCAACTAATGAAAAGTTATGAGAGTGCACAGTTTGGCCCGAAGAGAATAAGGCCCTATTCACATATGTGCAGCCAGTGTTGTTTGCTAATGCATGTGCGTTTATCATGCGTTATGTCATGTAATGTGCATTCATTTCAATGTGCTGCCAATAAATCACAACATGCCAGAAATGCACCTGCACTATTTTTCCCAATGCAGGAAACCACAGCACACAGTTTTGCTTTTTTTAGTACATTGGGGGAGGGGGCATAAAAATGAATAGCAATTCAATGCACTGATGTGTATATGCTGTGATAACGTGTGTTGCACTGCAGTGACACTGTATCACAGAGAAACAGTGTAACACAGCCTTAAACATTTTTCCCTAATAATTCTTGCACAAGGAACATTTAAATTAAGGAATAGATAATTATGATCCTTCAAGCAAATGTACAAACATCCAAATTAATTGCTGCAATTTGTTGCATTTGTAAGCTATATAAGCCATTTCTACTGCCTAATTAAATATATTTTTTGTTTTGCACACATGGCTTCTATAGCAGTTTGCATTTTCTGTTTTTGTTTTATAGAAGTCGGTTTCTCTTTTTACACCTAGAACCAAAGTAGACAGTAATAATGACAGAACATTGGGAAGCATTTATCAAAGGTTATCACCCGCGGTTACCAACCATTGCTAGCATTATTTCCTGCTAATTGCCTAGTTACTAAATTGCTGCTTACCAAGATCTTACCACAGTCACTGAAAAAGAATGTCACCTCATTCACTACAGCATATTATACAGAGCATGGAGCTTAAAAAAATGTGCCTGTTATCAGATCTGATATTTAAAATGTTTGTAGAAATACCACATTGGTTAAATCAGTATATTTGTTTCAATAATTGAAGCTGATTACTCTATTTTACTCTTGCTGGCAGAATAAAATAGCTAATCATTTAGCATTGCAAATTCCTGGTTGTGAATACAGCATGCTTGCAGGGAAGATACATTTAGATTTCTCGTAGCATAGGTAAACAATTTCACTGTGCCATTTTATCTGAGGTCTAAATGAAAAGTAATATTTTTTTCTTTTTGGGTTATGAAATCATGTTTAAGCTAACATTATACCAATGACAAGCATTTTTTTTATTATTTCCCTTTATACCATCCATTTGACTATTTTATTCAGTATATTTTACCAATCTGCATGTTAAATGGGCAATATAACGATGTATAAACATGGAAGTCATTGTCTACATCAACTCACTGGGCTATAAATTACATTTTGGGTGGTATGCTTTTTTAGAATGTCTTAAATGTATTTAAAGCACTGAGCTCAGGATGCTGATTGGACCCAGCTTTTGGAATTAGGATTTATGTAGGAGCTAAAGTTAGCCTTTAGTTTCAAGTGTTGTGTTAAAGGATAAAATAAAGGTGAGGTTACAGGTTAATCCTTAGTGTTAGCGTAGATGTTCATTTTCAAAGTCTAGTTAT